CTATTTCCTGTTTTTATATAGATCACAAATCTAATAAATTTCCTTAGTAAAATATTTATATTTATAAAGAGTTTTTACTGAAATTGGAAAAAGTTTAAAGAACATGGAGGACGTTCATTTCTGATAAAATGGTAGACGGCATTCTTTGGACCAAACATTTAACTAGAAAGTAAAAATGCTCAACAAAGCACTGAAAATCACTTGGAAAGCATTGAATGTCTGCCAAGCCAACACCATACAGGATTGCAACAATAGTTTGGCAATCACATGGATTTGCTGTATAAATTTCATTACTAGGCGGTCAAGCAAACAAAAGCCAAGCATTTAAAGTGCTTCCAGACTGGTAGACTCTTAGATATCTACAATAAACAAGTACAAATCTCCTAAAGAAGGCACTTCTCATGAATAATCCTCATGAATAACCTTAAACTTAAAGACAATAATGGTCAACAATAATTATGGATGTTAACTATACAAGGAACCATGAATGAGAAAAAAATGGCAAGAATATATCCATAAAGGTCACATGGTAGTATAATTATCATATACATAAAATAAAACAATTAGGCTTACTTCATTTAAAGGACTAAAAGACATATCTGAAAATATCAACAGGGAATTGGAACCTATACAAAAAAAAATTAGGAAATTAGAAAAATAGCCAATTTCAATAAATTAAAAACATATTAACAGATTACAAACTCAATGGTGGAGGAGTGAAGCAGCTGTATAACCCACCTATAGGTAACAATTGAAACAAGATGATTAAAAATATATGTATTTTAAGAGAACAGAAACCATCCAAAATGCAGTTCTGGAAAATTGCAAACTGTGTACTCTGGGTTTAAATGCAGGAAAGGGAAGGGAAAAGGGAAGAAGAGGGAGGTAAGGAAAAGAAAATGAAAACAAGAGAGTATGACCCACATTCAGCAAAAATAGATAACAGAAACTGGGGATACCAGGTGGGTTAGATTTAGTAGTTAAGGATTTATAATAAAAATGGGAAATATAATAATAGTAAATGAACAGATACGGAATCTCAACAGAGAAATGAGGTAAATATATAGGCATTTTTTCAGATAATGCAAAACAGAATTCATTGCCAACAGATCTGTACTATTAGGCTAGAGAAAAGTTCTTCAGACTGAAGGGAAATGACAAAATATGGCAACTGAAATTTATAAGAAGAATGAGGAGATCTGGAAATGATATGTAAATAAATATAAAATACAAAGTTTACATATGTATATATATATGTACAAATGTTTATTTTCTTCTCATTTCTTTAAAAGACAAAGAATTTTAAAGCAGTAAGTGTAACACTATAACAGTACACATCAAGAGTATTGATGGTTTATAATGTTTATAGATTTACATACATATAACAATAGCACTAAGATTGGTGATAGGTATTATGGACATATTCATAGATTGGGATAAATTAAAGATGCACTTTATTATTTCTAAAGTAACCATTTTTTAAAAATACAAAGACTTATATCTAGAAAGCTGATAGAGAAAATAAAATGTCTTCTATTAAGACAAAAGAGGAAAGGAAGTAGCAGAGGAATAAAAAAAGGACCAAAACTGAAAACAGCAACATAGTAGAGCTAAACACAACCACATCAATAATTATATTAAGTAAAAATTCATGAACACTTCATCCAAGAGGTTGAGGTTGTAAGACTGGATTAAAAACAAAGAAGAAACAATTATAGCCTGTCATCAGGAGATGGAAAAACAAAAATTCAAGTTATAGAAAGGAAATTAGCACAATTAAGCTGAAATGGCTACATATTATCAGATGAAATACAGTTCAACAGGAGGAATGTTGCCATAGACAAAAAAGGGGTACTCCATGTGATAAAGTGATCAATAAATGGGGAAGATACAATAAATTATAAATATACATACAGTTAGTAAGAGAAATTCAAAATACTTGCAGCAAAATTTTGATGGCCAAAATTAATGAGTTAGAGAAAAAGCTGCAATCATAGATGAAGAATTTAATACATATTCTTCAGTAATTTTTGAAACATCCAAACAGAAAGACAGTAAGAACATAGAAGATCTGAATGACACTCCAGTCACCTTAACCTCACATTTATAAAACTTTATACCCAACTGCAGAATATGCCTTTTTTTTTTTCATATGCCATGGAACATTCACCAAAAATGGCCACATGCCAGCAATAAAATCTGAAAAAAGATGCAAATCTTATCAAGTACTTTCTCAGACCATAACAGAATTAAAGAATAACAATAAAACATCTAGAAAAGCTCCAAGTATCTGGAAGTAAATGAGTCACATTTGAATAAACTCTAAGTAAAAGAAGAAATCACAAATTAGAAAATATTTGGATCTGAATTATAGTAATAATAAACATTTTAAGATTTTTGAGATGCAGTTAGAGCACTGCTAGAGAAATGAAACCAAAAACTCTTTCTTTGAAAAGATGTCATAAAATTGACAGACCATTAGCTAGAATGATCAAGTTAAAAAAAAAAAACTGATCAGGGAGGGGGAGAAAAAGAGAATATAAAATACCAGTATTAGGAATGAAAAGAGGGTATTACTACAAATTCTACAGGCAGTAAAAGGTTAATACCATTAGATCAATAAATCCTATCACACACAGACAAATTACTTGAAAGATGCAAACTGCAAAAACTGCTACCACAGATAAATGAAAATCTGAACAGCTTTATATCTATTCAAGAAAATGATGTAGGAATTGAAAACCCACGCTTGATGGGTTCAGTGGTATACTTTAGCTAATATATACAAAAGGAAATTTTACTAATACTATAAAATTGTACAAAATAATTTACAAAAACTCCATCAGAAAATGGAGGAGGAAAAATTGTAAATCCATTATGAAGTCAGTATTACCATGATGTCGAGACTAACCAAAAATATCAGAGTACTACAACAGTCTCTCTCATGCACATAGATGGAATTAACAAAATTTTGGTATATCAAATTCAGTAATATATAAAAAGGCAATAATTCATAATTAAATGGAATTTATCCATAGAAGCAAAAATGGGTTTGGTATTGATATGAAAATCAGTAAATGTAATACATATTAACAGAGTAAGATAAAACTGTTATTTCAAAAAGATAAAGAGCATTTAACAAAATACAAAACCCTTTCTTGATTAAAGAAAAAAAAGCCCCCAGTGAAGAGAACTTTCTAAGTCTGACACAGGGCACAGATGAAAATCCACAGCACCATCATACTCAGTGGCGGTGAAAAACTGAATGCTTTTCACCTAAGCAGGAATAAGGCAAGGATGTCTACTCTCATCACTTCTACTCAACAGTGAACTAAAATTTCTTGCCAGTGCAATAAATTATAAAAAAGAAAGAAAAAGCACACAGATGGGAGAGAAGGTATTGAAACTGTCCTATTTACAGGTGACATGATTGTGTACATAGAAAAATCATAAGAAATCTACAAGAAAGCTATTGTAATGATGTGTATACTTTAAAGAGGTGTAATTTATTGTACCTAAACTGTAATTAAAAAGTTGATTTAAAACTCAAATACAAGTTTACAAGTACACTGGAAATAGCTGAAGAAAGAATTAGTGAGTGGGAGTTACATATCTGAAGCATAATGCAGAAAGAAGCACAGAGAGAACCAACTAAAGAAATTAAGAAACTTTCTAAATAAAGAAAAGTGTTCTGAGATGATAAAATTAAAATTCACAACAATAGTCTATGCATCAGGAAGAGGTTAATATTCATACCTTCTCTGGTATGACATTAAAGACAACAGATTAACTTTAAACTTGGACTAAATTTGAACTTGGATAAGTAAGTGTGCATGTTTTAATTTCTAGGAAAAAAATTCCAATAATATGTGAAGAGGGGAAAAGAATAAAAACATTTGATATCTTGATCTGGGTGATAGTTACATGAATGTATACACAAGTCTAAATTTATCAAACTATACACTAAGATTTCTGCATTTTATTGTATATACCTCAATATAATTTTTTAATTAAAAAGAATCACCAAAAAATAAAAATAAAACATCCCCCAAAATAAAGTGGGAAATATGAAAAAGCACAAGAATAGAAACATAAAAAAACAATTTGTACAATAGTAAAGGGAAAAACCAAAATCAATAAGCATTTTAAAAATGGACCATAAGCTGAGCCACCACACAAGTTTCAACACATTTGAAAGTCTAAAATCATAGTCTCTGACTGCAAAGCCATCAAGCTAGTAAGCAATAAAAATGTAAATTAGAAATATCTACAGATGAATTATTAAAAAAAAGAATTTAACAAGTTGGCTGGGTACAAAAATCAATACTGAGCTCAACTGTAGTTTTATAAGCTAGTAACACTTTTAAAATGAAATAAAGGTTTACATTTATAATAGCATAAAAATATGAAGTATTTAAGGATAAATCGAATAAAAGATGTGAAGAATTTCTACTTAGAAAATTACAAAAATCATCAAAACTTACCAAAAATATTAAAAACCTAATAAATGTAGGAACATACTATGTTCAGTATTAGTTTCCAAAGAAATGCAAATAAAAACCACAAATGATACACTATTATACATTGATAATGGCTAAAATTAGGAAGATTGATTGATAGTATCAAGAGTGGGAAAACCTAATACAATAAGGATGTCAACTCAATACCAATTGATTCAGTGCAATTCTACACAAAAATTAATAAGTTAAAATAACCTTAAAAATAGGAGGTAGGAGAACTAGTATAATCAGATATTGAAATTTATAAAGCTATAGTAAATAAGAAGGCAAAAACTCATTTATAAATATGTAAAATCAGGTTAGTGACTACTTCATAGGGTAGAAGGCAAAGAGGGAGAACATTACATTCTGGGAGTGAAAGTGCAATGAAGGCTATTCTGACACTGATAATACTCTATTTCTTAACCTTCTTATGGCTATGCATGTGTATGTTTTACATTTTTTTTCTATGTATATAATTTACAAGAAAATATTTGGGAAAAATTATGAAAAAAGAGTCAGAATAAAAGTATAAAATAAGAGGCTGAATAATATTTAAAATACTGTCTATAGTGATGACTTTAAAAAATGTTTTTTAGATTTTCCATAGAAAATAGGAATGCCTTTAATAATCAGAAAAACGTTTGTTAGAAATTGAACATCATCTTTCCAGACTTAAAACCACATTATTTTAGAATAAATAGGATGATAATCGGAATACTGAAAATTCCTAAACCATAAAATACGTACATTGTCTTAAGCTCATTTAAGAAACTAAACTTAGCTAAAAGTGATGAAAGAGTACTTGAGGACCTAAGTTACAAATGGACTCTTTCAGTATTATCTGTTCTTTGAAAATATCAGATGTTTTAATTTAGTACATATTTGGTTTGCTTTTCTGGCATGGCATGGGTCTACTTTAACTCAACCATGCCTGAATTTGAAAAAAATCTTAATGAAAAATAACAAAAATTTATCTAAATGATCTTATTTGTACCTATAGGAAATAGATCTTCATTATATTTATATATTATTTTGATCAGAGCAGGGTCAAAAAGTGGACTTTAATCAAGCCAAGTTACAGTTGCTAAATATGATAAGGATGTATTTAAGCATCATGAGAAAAAGTACTCTATTTAGTTTACTATTACAGACCCAGTACTTGGTGCAGTGTGTAGTTCAAAAAGGACACTCAAATTTTTTTGATGAACAGAAATGAGAAAATATGGGATTAGGCTGAAATAAATATATATGACTATGCATGGAATCAGAACTGATACAATTTAGTGTGTTAGCTATCAACTACCTGGATTTTTTATTTGCCAATCTTTTGGCACCAGCTTGTTGAAATATTTACATTCTATTGTATTTCCTTTGTTCTATTGACTATTCTTAAAATAAAAATCATATTAACATGTCTGTTTTAAGTAAAAGATATGCTTTGTTTGACAACTGTTTGGAAATTCTTCAGAACGATTTCTTCACTGTTCTTTCCAAACAATGATGATGATAATAATGATATACTCTATTTCCAATACTATTGACAAAAATTCATTAGAGGCTTATCATTACCTTAAGGAGACCCCAATTGTAATGGAGTCTTTTAACCCAACATTTTATTCATAAGTAACAAGAGAAATGGATTATTCACTGACTGCTAGATTTACAGTATTAAAAATAATTGTTTACAAATAAAAGACTTGTGAAAAATAAAATTTGCTTAAATATGACATTATTAAAGTTTTTGTATAATGGTATATTTAAAAACTATAGTAAAAATTAATTTCATGTAACAAAATCCTCATATGGTTTATGGTTCTCTAAGTACTATCTCATATCATTTCATTTGCTTCTCAAAATAATCATGTAGATTATCACTTCACAGATGAATAAATAAAAGCTTACATACATAAAATGTTATTTGTCTAAAAATTCAAAAGTAGCAGTTTGGACTTGACTCCAGGCTTCCATTCCATCATGTATATTACTAATATATAACATGGAAACATTCAGTACTTACTTGATTTTCAAACACGGATTTGTATTTGTCATTTTCTTATTCTTCTAACCCTTCTGATTTCCCCTGAATATGCTTCACTTACTTTTAACTAAATTTCTTATTTTTTTCCTAACACCTTTAAAAAATCTGTATACTTTCAAGTCTCTACTAACTCAAATCCATTCCAAATTAATAATTTTAATTGTCTGTTCTCAATTTCTAACTATATCTCTGAACAGTAATATATAAATTGAATCAGGTGAGAAAACTCTACATGTTCTGTAAAGCATAATCCCAAAACTGTGAAATTGAGTAATTTTCTCATTTATTTGGAGAAATGATTAAGTTGAGCATTTCACCTGTGTTCGAGATGTTGCTTTTCCTTTGCTCTCAGTAGAAAATTTGCCTTTATTACTAATACGTGCTGCTTGTTCTTTACAGAAATTTATATGTCTATCAGCTGCATTTTCATTAAATCTCCTCTGGCAATATGGACACTGAATATAATCTAAAACAGAAAAAAAAACAGATTAATAATACCTGAAATAAAACAAAAAATTGTGCTTATGAACAGTAATTCAAGACACATAACATAAGTAATAACATCGGACAAACAAAAACGCTCATTTCCTTATAACCACCCAACCAGACTTATCTAAACTTAGTAAAGATGTTAAAGAAAAAAGTCTGGTAGTATATGATAAATTCCTATTTTCTCCCAGCTCAGAATCAAGTTTGAGGGAAAAAGAACCCAAAATACAAATCTTTAGGCACAAAAGAATGAGTAAGTAGAAGAAAAATGTTATTTCTTTTCTGTCTCTATAATACCATGTGGTTTCATCATATACAGCATTTTTTATACACTAGACTAGGTTAAGCAGTAATAACACATTACATTAAAAATATATTTTAAAGTTTGGACTCATCTGTTAAAATATTTTATTTCAATTAGAGAAAAACTGTCAAGAAATAGTTTAACTGACTTGATACAATTTTCTTAGAGGTCTCAACAGATGGAAGAAGTGATAAAAATATATCTCATTAACATAATTCAAATTTAAGAAACAGCAAATGTTTCTAAGATAAAATATTCTCCAAAAATGCAATGTATACTGCAAATTAAATTTCTTCTAAAATTATATCTCAAGACTAACCTAGACAGAACCAAATTTTGTAGCATTATGGAAGATCTCAACTCTATGAGATGCCAAGACACAAAAACAGAAATTTGGCACTGTCAAAACAATCAATTTATTTCAACGGTTTACTTTTGGAGAGAGAGTTTGTTCTTGAGAATTTACATTCATTTGAAGCTCAGAAATTTGTTCTGCTAACTAGTGGAGTAGGTCTAAAATCACTAATAAAGAAGTTGTTTTGTCAAGACTAAAGAGATTAAAAAATTTCTAAAACCCAAATTATCCTGAAGAACTGGCACTCTGACTTACGTAAACATGAGAAATAGAGCTATGTTCAGTAAGATGCAATATACAAATACCTGCAACGCAGATAGAAAATTCAACTTCATGGGGAAAATTATGCTAGAATTAGAAGAGACCCAAACCCAGATAGAACATCCCAGAAATACTCATAGAATTAAATAAGTTAGTAATATTTGAAGAGGGGTTAGCAAACTTGGGGCTCTTGGCCAAATCCAGTCTGCCTGCTGCTTGTTTTTATAAATTAAGTATTATAAATAAGTTTTATCAAGCCACACTCATTCTTTTACATATTGTCTGTGGCTGATTTCTTGCAATAGTGGCAGAGCTGAGTAGTTGCAACAAGGACCTAATGGTTGCAAAGCCTAAGATATTTACTATCTGGTCTTTTGTAGAAACCTCTATCAACCTCTCCTCTATAATAAAAGGTTAAAAATGATCATACTCATATTTTGTAAATAACCTTTTCTTTACTAAGAAATAAATCCCCACCTAGAATACTAACACAATTTCAATGCGGCTATCTTGTTATATACATAACTACCTCTTTAGGCTACTCTTCTAACCAATCTCAAAATGTCAACTGTGCTATTTCAAATATTTCAGTATCTTAATATTTCATATGGGTTTGCCAGCAGCTTGCCTTGCTTTTAGTAACAATAAACAAGCAACTTTACTCCCCACACAGGAAGATACATAGAATTATATGGATTTAGTGCATAATTTATGTCTGTCTGTCTATATGGTGGTTTCCCCACATTAATTGTATATTTTAGAAGCAATATTACAAGTTTCTTTCCTTTGCAGATGAGAAGATATCAAAGAACTAGGCAACCTAACTATCTGAATTTTACTGAACAATACATTTCAATCAACAGGGCACATGATTAAAATATTTTCTATAATACTAAGATTTAATAGTTACTATAGTAGTTTTTAAGATATCATAATGCTTATATTTAAGTATTGATAAAAAGATAATGCATTTCTATGTTCAACACTGTTGTGTCATTGTAAGCCTAAATGCCTAGATTATCACCATCATTTTATGGGAAAAATTAAAGCTTATGCTTCATTAGGTTCCATTATGCTAAATTAACTTTAAATACAAAATTTATAAAAATTCTATGAATGTTTTCTTCCCACACGAACATTTCTGTCAACACTATTCCATATACCAGGATCATAAGAAGGTGGAGGAGGAGGAGGAAGTTTGCCTCCCTCTTTAAGCGCCTGATCAAGGCCTTTAGCTGCTCTTATGGTAGCAATGAATTCTTCATGTTTTCTTCTCCAATTAGATGGTTTCTTCGGTGGTTCAGGCTATAAACAAAGAAAAAGCAGTTTCAAAACATTTTTTAAAAAATAAACAAATTAAATTCGAGGAAATGGCATATTATTTTAAATGTTCTCTTATAGGCATCCTTAAATGATCTTTCCAAATTCATAATTTTGATGAGAAACTTTGTACAACTGTATTATATGAATTTTTTCTGATGAAATTGTAATTATGATAGACACTGCTAAATTGCCTTCTGTAGGTGTTTTATCCATTTAAGCTCCGACCAAGAGTATATTTCCCTGTTTTCCTATAGTTGGGACAACAGGGTATGTTATTAAACTCTTGGTAGTTTAATTGATTGGAGAAGTGATAAAAAGTTCTCTCTCAGTGGTTTTAATTGGCTTTTCTCTTATACTGAATGAGACTGAGCATCTTCAAATATCATTAATAATCACTTCTTTGCCTTTTCTGTTGATTGTTTAACTTAATCAGCTTACCTGTTGGGTTACTGGTCTTTTTTTTTTTTTAACAATTTCTAAAAAGTAACTATAGGATACTAGCTCTATTACTCCCCCACAATAGGTCTGTCTTTTTACTTTGTCTAAGGGTCATTTGATATACAGAATTATTTTTAAAATGTAGTTTAATTTACTTCTTTATTTTATGGTCTCCAGATTTGCAGTCACAGTTAGCAAGGCCAAATCTCACACCAAGGAAAATGGAATTTTCCCATGTTTCAATCAATAGC